CCAACATCTCGAACATTAATATGCCAAGTGAATACCAGTCCACTGCTTTCCCATAACCTTTAGATTTTATAATTTCTGGGGCGAGATAGTCCGGAGTACCGCAAAGTGTCCATGTTCTAACGGGTACATGTTTTGCAAACCCGAAATCTGTAATCTTTATGTGTCCATTTCTGTCTAACAATAGATTCTCTGGTTTAAGATCACGATAAATTATATCCTTTGAATGTAGATACTCGAATGCGAGTAAGACTTCGGCTGCATAAAATTTTGCAACATGATCAGGGAATCTCTGATAATTATTTGATCAATGTTAGCATTGACTCATTATCTCAAGTTTGTTTGCTCAAGTGGATCAATGATGAAAAAAATAAATACCTTTGATTTCCTTAATACGCTAAATAATTCACCACCAGCCACATAATCCATCACCATATATAAATTTGCATTATCCTGAAATGACCCCCATAAATTTACCAAGAACGGATGATTAACTTGTTCCAGTACACGTTTCTCGTTATTGGTGTGTTCCACTTGTTTAAGACGAACGACCTCTGATTTCTTCAGGACTTTCATTGCATAATATTTGTTATTACGCTTGGATTGCACAAGATGAACTCGACCAAAAGAACCTGTACCAAGCGTACGACAGATGGCAAAATCCGATAATTGAAATTTAACTTTCGTATTGCTATTGGGCGCATTATTAGTTTGAGTAGGTTGTAGATCATGGGGATGTTGGGATGCTTGTAATTGAGCAAAGAATTGTTGTTGTTGCGAATAACTAACATATGAATTCGGATACGGATTTAATGCAGATGCGGAAGTTGACCCAGACGAAGACGAGCTCGGGTGCGGATTTAATGATAAAGTAGCAGAAGAAGAGGTAGAAGACGATGAACTCGTGGGGTTAATATTGGCCTGTTGTAAATTTAGCAAGGGCGGTAATTCCGTTGATGAGTTTATCGTTAGCCCTTTAAGGATTTTGTTCGCATTATTAGATAGTAGTGTGGGCGAAGTTGGTGATAAAGGTAAAGAAGTGTAAGGATTATTAGCGAGCGCTGCGGGGACACCGGGAGGCAAATTTTGCTGTTGTGTAGTGGGAGGTGGTTGTGAGTGATTAATGTGATAATTTTGTTGTTGTTGTTGTTGCTGCTGCGGGTTATTATTAAGTTGATGAAAAGTGTTGTGTGGTAGTTGCTCTGCTTGTTGAAAAGAATAGTTTTTTTGGTGCGTTTGATCCTTAACCATGTCTTGAGATTGTCAAAAAATTCGGTTAAATATAGGTCTAAAGAAGTTTATTAACGTTAACGTTAATGTCATCTTTTTTCACGACTAAGATATTGCTCTTTTCGGAATGTTGTGTTACTTTCTACACGTAGATCATTCTATGAAACACTACCACCGCTTGTTTTCCTACTACAGCGGGAGACACCATCAACTTCTAAAAAAAGATTATAACTCGTGTATCAGTTTGGGTGTTGGTAATACAACCTAGATTTTTTATAGCGCGTGGATTTTCGATTTCTAATCCATAAAATTTTTTTTTGGTCAACACCATAATTTGTATCATACCTTCTCAAAACGCGTATTTTCCTCTTATCGTATTTCCAAGAGTAAGTAAATAAATAACAATGCAATATCCTATTCACGTGTTTCAAACCCAGAAATTCGAAGTTGTTGACCCGCAGAAAGTGAACATGACGAAGCAGATGACGAGTTAATTGATTTTAGAATTTCGGATTCAGATGAGAATAATCCCCTTTTTCAAACCTAGAAAAAGAAAATTGCAATCATCCAATTTTTTACACTGGACCCTTAAAGATGAAAGAAGTAGTGTCTTCATGAAATAATACTACTTTGAACAACACAACTTTCTTAGTTTTTACTTTCACCGGACAAAACAGCAAGAAAAGCAAAAATGAGATTCATTGCGCCATCGAGATTATAAGAAATTTATATTATTCTGTTATTATTAACCTTTGTTATCCTGTGTGCAAATAAATATCGTATAAGCCAATTTTTTGATGACGACTATGTGAGTTACGCTTATTATCTTCGCTCTATTAATCATATAGAAATGATATATGGGGCAGACTGCAACAAAACCAGACAAAGTGAACATTTTATTATGTGAATTAAAAGAGGCTGATGTGGCTGGAAAATGAACTAAGTGACTGATAATGTTTTGCTTTAGTGGCACAACTGTGGCTTAGACATAAATTCTTAAATCTTATTTTTTAATTAAAATTAGATTATATCTATAAAAAATATAAATATGAAATTAATTTACATCATGAAATTAAAGAATTACAATATAATTAGAAGTATTTTAAAAAAAGAAGAAAAAATTATCTTTTATATTTTTAAAATTAATGATATTAAAGTTCTTCAGAAATATTTTGATAAAAAAAATTACTTATGAAATTTATCAAGAAAAATAAAAAATAATAATTAATAAACAAGTCTTAATCCTAACTTATAATGAATCAAGAAAAAAAGAAAAACTTGAAGAATAAAATAAAAATCAGAATTTAATGTAAATAAAAGTTTAAAATATTTATTTTTGATAAAATTAATTATTTAATAAGCTTTTTTTCTTCTTAATATTTAATATTAGAATTATTGTTTCTAATATTATTAAGATTCCTGAAATTAATCATAAATATAAAGATATTTTATTTAAATTACTTTTTTTTTAATTATTACTAAGTTTAATTGAGTTATTACTTAGCTTGAACTAATTTTTTTTTATCTAAATTAATTTCTAAGTCTTGTTTTATCTATTTCAAATAATGAGATATTCTTTAAAAATATTAAGTTTTTTTGCTATTTATTTATTTTTTATTATATCAATTAATTAATAATTTCAAATAAATCTATCTTTATTAGAAAGTCAAATAGAAAGTAATATTATTAAAAATATTCTGGAAAGCTATTAAATTAGTTTCATATTAAGTTTATGATAAAGTTTAAAGATAGATTTGTGATGATTTAAATTATTTTACATTCCAAGATATTGATAACTTTTATAAGATTAATAGTATCATAACTACTAAATTATATTAATAAATACTTTATAAGAATCTTATAAATATTATTAAAAATCATGAGTTTACTATTAAAAATATCATTTTTCAACAAGATAAAGATTCTAAATATATGATAATTTCAATGAAATAGTAATTTAGAAATAATTAAATTCAAGTTTTGAATTAATTATCATAATTTTCTAATTTAAATTCCATCAAGTATTTATAAAATAAGATTAATTATTATTTATAATATCTTTTTGAATAAATTTTAGATAAGAAAGACTTGTAGAACAAGATATAATAAATTTAACAGGAAATTGATGTTAAAATCTGTACTAATCTGATCTACTTAATGCCAGAAAGAATTCATGATGTAATAAAAATACAAGATAATTATATGAGATAATAGGATAGATTGAATTCTATCTAATATATATATTTAAATAAAAAAAATTAGTAATTAGTTAAGTTTATTATGTTATATTTTATTATGTATGAAAAAGAAAAAAAATAATGCAATAGTACTTATCAAATAAAATATATAATTTATAAGATAGTTATTCTATATATCCATATTTAGTTTTAATAGTCTAAAAACTATACTATTTACAAATAAAATTCATTAATTAAAAAATAGATATTCTCAAATTAATATGAAATATTTTAATATAACAAAAATTATTTTTTTGTTATATTAATTATGATTATCACTATATAGAACTTTGATACTGAAAGTTTTAGAAAAAATTTTAATCAAATAAAGATTCATAGTTCTTTCTAAATTTGTTCTCAAACTGTAGTTACAAATCTATTTATCATTATTGAATTATTATATTTATAGATGAAAGAAATATTATGTAAAATTAATTAAAAATAAACAGAACTCACATAGCAAAAAGATATTTATCAATATATTTAGTATTATCATCAGCAGGATTGAAGTCTTTTAGTAAATTCTCTATCTTTTTTTTTATTATTAAGTACATTATTAAGAAATTTTTGTATTATTATCAACTTTAGCATTTTATTAAAAAATTTTTTGAGGAGATATTTATCAAGAATCATCACTATATTTATAAAAATTGATAAATATCTCTCTGAAATATTGATATTAATTAATAACTCTAATGATCTTTAATAAATATTTATATTAATAATAATCAATCATTATTAATATTGTTACTGTTCTTAATAGGATGGACAAAAAAATACTAAATACAGTAATATTTATATTTAATAAGGAATAAGAACAGTATCAGTGACTATGTGTACTTGAGAGGGTTGAACTAGATAAGGTTTGTAAGTTAGGAATTTCCTTTGGAAATTTATTAAGAATAGGATA